ACAACAAATGGAAATAAACTGTGGTTTAGATAAGTAAAAGAGTTATTACTTCCTTGGATTTACAAGGTTCAATATTTTGCCAATTCTAGAGTATGTGGGGTTCAGCGTACCCGGATTAAAAGGAGAATTTAATACAGGATACCCTGCCCACAAAATACAACGCAAATTTCAAGAAGAAACAACATGATAAGGAACATTTGTAGAAAATAGTACATTGTATATTTATTATCTTGTGAATAGGGTAAAAAAGATTAATGCTTTAGTTCGTTTAAGCAAAATTGTGATTTTTGACAAAAATGTCTGTGTTCGCTGTCTTTCAACAGAGTAACAGAGTAATGTCTGTTTCTTTTGTTTTTGTATATGTGTAAAGGAAAAAGGGGCAATCAATTTAAGTTGAAAAAAGAGAACGTGTGGATGAGGAATAAAAGATAAAAGGAAAATGTACTTATGAATTGTTTTGGAGTCAGTTGTAAATTTGTTGTTGTTGTGGTTGTCCTTTCCTAATCCACTTTCGGCTCTTAGTGTCGGGTTGAGTCAGTGATGAAATTTACTGTCAGTCTTCTGTCCTCTATGATTTCTGCACCCTGCTGACTCGGCAACTGACTTGAAATTCTGTATTTATTGTTGACTTTTTTTTTCACACTGGCTCGTTATCTTTTTTTTGGTTTAGCAAATCGCCTCCTTTCATTGGTCAGAAAATTAATTTCACACCTTATTGCGAAATCTGTTTTTAATCGTTTTGATCCTATTTTGCAGGTGTGCAAATCTACTTTGTGTTTTTTAGTCATTTGTTGGAATGATATAGAATTTGTATCCTATAAGTATCAGTTGTGGGAGACTGAAAGTTCATTCATGGTATAACACCAGGTAGTAGTTGAGATAGTTATGTGGAGAAAATAAACATGCAGTATCACATTGTAGTAGTCAAGAGTTTGTTTCTGTTACTGCTTTCGTTGTTAACTGTAGGCTTCACTGTTGCGTAAATTTTTTGTTAATATTTGTTTTTTGTTTAACTGGAAACAACAAAAAATCATATCCTTCATTTACCTTGGTCCATTGGTTATGATCTGACTCATCATTATAAAGCAAACACTGGTCAAAAATAATTTTTTTTAAATGATAATAATATACTTTAATAATTACAGATTAAAAATGATCTATAACTAATGATTTTTCTAATTTTGAAACACCTGATTCTGATATTTTTTCCATTTCAATATTTTAGCAGTCATTGTTTTGATATGTTTCTATTAGCTCAACTCAGAATTGTCTGTTGGAACTGTCAAAGACAAATTGTATATTTTAATGTATGCAGATTAGTCTATAGTAGATATTCTAAATTACTTACATCATAGACCTTATAATTACTGAAACTTCCGATTTCTTGTTTTATCTCTATGGCATCTTGATTGTTACGTTATTCCAAATTAAAAAAAAAAAAAAAATTGATCTGCTTCCCTATCAGACAATTTGGCACATTTTGAATTCCTAACCTTTAGATATTTACAAATTTCCATTATTTTGATCACTGCAAATTCTTGTTATTTTGAGTTGCCTTATACCATCTCGTACCACCTAAATTTTTTTCCATTTTCTTTCTCTTCCTCAGCCAACACAACTGAATGCTTCAAAATTGATTGGACTTACCAGGAGCTATTTTGCTTTTGGGAAATCAAAATTTCTTTTAGCTCATGAAAATATTAAAAAAAAAAAAAAATCACCCAAAAAAACAAAACAAAAAGACTTTGATAAAATGTAAAAGTAAACAATAATTTTATTTTCCTCTTCCCCAGAAATCTAAACTGTTTTCTCAGTCAAACATCAAGTCAGTTACTTACGGTCATCTTTATTCTTATTTTTGGATTGCTTACTTTCTTAAATTTTTTTTCCCCACACCCCAAACATTTCCTTGAAAGACCTGGCATTAATTCTGTTTCTCAATCATAATTTAATAAAATTCCTTCGACATTCAGTTACTAGACAAGATAAATAAGTAAGTCAATAAACACATTTGTAGCAGTCAGTGACTTCAACACTTGACATAAAAACAGTTCATTAAAATCCATCTGTTTGTACTTTGTACCAACTTAGTACATTGTCAACAATAGAATAAGTACATCTAACTCATAACAATGCAGTAACAAGCATTTAACTGCTTTGACTCTTCTTTTTTGAACTGGAGACAAGAAGAAAAATGAATGTGTTAAAATAAAATAAAAAAATGTGTACACAGAATAAGAACATAAAGCATCATTCAATACAATCTTATTGTCATGAATGTTGCAACACAAAAAATTATAAATGTTATTAAATGAGTTCAGTTTTAATTGTGTCTGAAAATGTCATATTTGCACTTAGTATTATGAGTTTTCACATTAATATTTCTTCCTTTATTCAATCCCAGTCATGACCATAGAGTCCAACATCACAGTTAATTGTGAACTGTATCATCTTTCCAATGGCTGTATATAGTACATGCCTCACCAGAGATGTATAGTTTTGAGTTCAAAGTCGTCTTTTTCCTAAACTGATTGCCAACTATGTTGACAGAGCTCATATGTGGGAAAGGGGGATAGATTTGTACCTTTAGCTACAATTTGAACATGGCTTTCTCAGATGCTATATAAGTGAATATAAGCATTTCTGTTCATACTATACTTTAATAACCCCAGTAGGCCAAGCATAAAAATGAGTACCATTTTGGAGTCTTTGTTTAGAAAAATACAGATTTTAGGTTTAAAGCTAGTGTCCTTTTTGTTTCCTTAAAACTTTCTTATAGCCTCCATGTTCTGTACATGGTATTCTTAGCATCCTTAATCACAAATTGGAAAAAAATTGGCTTAATTCTTGTTGAAAAACAATGTTATTTCTGCTCAAACAAACTAAAATCCCATACTCATGATATATTCACATGATGATTTATCAATTAGTCACTTCTGGCCAGGACATCTGCATCATATTCCAACTGCCCAGTAAGGTCCATCCGGCAATGGTTGCACGCTATCCAGATACCCCCACCATGACTGCAGATCCTGTGTTGGTACCGATAGCTACATATTTGCGTAATCTGAAATTGATCAAACATATTATTTATATTAATCGTAAATGATTGACAGATACAATGAAATCTGATACCTTTTGCGGAATCAGTGTCTCTTGTTGAACAATTTGATCTGAGGCAAAATTTGTATACTGGCAGAACAAAGGCAAATTGTTGAAACAGAAGCACATAGAGAAGTTGGGGGTGTAGCAGCAGTGGGTTTGGTTGGTTTTTGGTTGAGGGAGGGTGTCATGGCAAGAAATGTTGATGGCTTATTGATATCTGCCTTAGACCAATTCCTGAATCTACAGGACATATGCAAATATCAAGTTTCTCTCTTTGTGTGATGATATGTCATTATTGCACAGTAATCCACTTGGACTAATACCCTTGTCTTCAAATCATCTTTTTTTTTCTTTTACTTCTTTTATTTGCTTTTTTTTTCTTTGTGAAGTATCATAAAGAGCTTGTAGATTAATTTGTCTATACTTATTACATTATAAATACAATTTGTAATCAGAGCACTGGACAGAAAACTGAGAGGACTTATTTATATTATTTTTCCCTTCCTATGCCTGGTCAGTGATCATAGCAAAAACGAATCTATATATGAAAAAGAAAATCATGATTTTAAACAATTATTTGGCTTTAAAATTCAAAATTTGACTTATATATAGGTAAGTAAATGACAATATAGGAAAAATTCCTTACTAACACATTTCATTCCAAAAAGGTACTACTTCAGACTAATAATGGTTTTATTAATGGAATCAGTCTTATATATAAAGGGAGTGGGACAAGACATACAACAAATGCCAGTTAGATTTAACACTGAAAGCATTTCTCTGTTTTGATATGAACTGTAACCAGTGTTTGACTGTTGTTTCTTTCTCATCTCTCTTTTATATATAAGACCGATTCTACCAAGAAAATCATAATTAGTCAAAAGAAATTCTTTCTAAGGCTGAAATTTTTCAGGTAGGAAGTTTTTCCCATTTTGTCATTAGTTACCTACCATTAGTCTAAAATAAGAATTTTGCATCATATCTTACATATACAGATGGAATTTTTACCAGTTAACTCAAATATATATTTAGTTTGCGAGATATCTAAGTAAGCTAACAACTCTATACTGCATATATTCTGATAGGATTATGCTCAGGCTATATAGTTTTTACTGATATACATCTCATTTTGGTTGTTTCCATGGAAACTAACGGCAATAAAATATACATGTCATCTGATCAGCCAGATGAGGAAAATGTTAATAATAGCTGTCAAAAGTATAATTTGCAGGATTCATAAAAGTTTTATCATATATCTTTTAATTTAATATTGAGGTATGGTGCAATTCATGGTGAAAAGAGAATCATATTCTTAGGAATATCTGCATTCAAGTTAGTATGGTGTATAAATCAACCAAAAGATTTTATTATTCCATGATGTTATAATTTTAATTCTAATTATTAATTTATTATTACTTTTTGACTTTGGATCAGTTATTTCATCATTTCTTGTGAGAGGATCACTTTATATCACATTTTTAGCTGAGAACCACTCATTAGAACCTTCTACACATTATATAATTTGACCACTGCAAGGATCAAATGTTAAATATCCTTCAAATGTTAAAATATGGAAATTCTAAACAAAGATGTTCAAAATTGCAACAATTTCTTAAGAATAAATTAGTTAATATCTACTTCTGGTCATTTCTATGAAAACCAAATGCAATAAAATGCTTATATCTATATAGTGTTTGACTGGTCAAAACTGAAAAAGTGTTAAAATATATTTTTGTAATTTTACTCATATTTACATTATCTTCCTTTACAGGACTAAAAGAAATATTCATTTTTCTCAAAAATAGATGTATCAATAAAATAATACTAAATTTTTTTCTTTATTTTTACAAATGCAAAATTCTTTACTCACAAATTCTGAATTGTTTCTCTTACAGCTTGTTCTAAAGAATATGACCCATGCCAAACAGTATGCCAAAAACATTGTGTTAGATCCAAACCAACCAATTCTAGCTGACATGCAATTTGATGCCAACTATGAGCACATTTATGTCATGAATCCACATGCAGTAAGTAATTTTTTTATTGAATTTACTTTATTTTTATTTTCTATTTTCTATTGGTATTGAATTATTGATCAATTATCTTTAAATATAACTTGTTGGTATTTCAAGATAGAAGGTTTGAATGAAGTCTAAAAATATATAACTACGTCACTACAGACATCTATTACCAGTAACTTGATCGAGTAAACAAAAAATTCCGCCAAAAGTGTCCTGCTTTTTATAAACTGAAAAAGCATTATTTTCCAGCATGACAATGCAATGGCAAACTGTACAAAACAAACTCAAGAAAAAATGAAATTGTTCGGATGGGAGGTTCTTCTATATCTGCCACACCCAGCAGATTTAGCACCCATAGATTTTCATTTCTTTCGATCACTAGAACATTTCAGAAATGGCAGAAACGGATTGAAAATGGTCATTCAAACATTTAAAAAACCTAAATGTCTTTTAATTATAGAATCAAAAATTTGCTTTACTAGGAACACTCATTAAAAAATAAAAAGGATTGTGTTTTTGATAATACATCAATTTCACATTTATTTTACACTTTTCCTGATGAAATGTAATTACTTTCTGAACACTGTCTTATTTAAACTTTGAATAGTATAGAGTCTGTCTATATTTCTTATTGTAAAAAATTTAGGAAATTATTAGGAAATACATATTTTAAATTTCAAAATTTAATTTAAAGATATTTTTCAAAATTTCCTGTAATTGCTAATAATGCTTACTGTGTTAGTTTCAGATCACACATTGATGATGCTCCTCCCTCAAAACTCTTTTAATATGGAATAGACTCCCAAGCATTGCTTCCCTGATCATTACACTCTTAACCTCTTCAAATTAAAGGTCAATTATTTTTTCTCTTATATGTCCTCATAATATGAAACCCTAACTCCTTCCCTACATGCCCTTGCAACATCACCAGTCAGCAATCTTCTACCTTAAGTGGCACTTAGGGCCTTTTATGTGTGAACAATAGTAAATAACAAACAGATATTACTTTTGAAATAAAATAAATTAGAGATTGCTGTTGTCTGCAAGTGCAATAACTTTAGGTATAAGAAATGCACAGCTTTGAATATAGTTTTTATCCACTGGAATTGTTGGCAGATAAGTTCTACAGAATAATTGATAAATTAGGTATTTCAACCTGGAATAATGATTAGGAAGCAAGTATGGTTGATCAATGGTTAAAAATGACTTTGAATGAGTGAAACCCGTGGGTCTTGGCAAAAACCATCTTTCTTTAAACCTTGTTCACTGGCACTATGGAATCACAAACAAAGAACTGTACCAAATAACAGAAACCATACCACCTGAGAACTTTCAGCATCAACAACAACTACAATGTATGGTAGAGTAGCTAACACCCCTTCAGCACTCTACCAGATGGCCTGGCTCATAGCCTTAAATAGTCTATTATTAATGTTATGATGTTGATTTGGGGTTAGTAGAGACAAAGGCCAAATAACACGTAACAATAAAAAGGGCTTTAATAGGTTGGTAAAAAGGTACAGAAATCACCTGAGTAGTCAATAACTAGCTTAGCTAAAAACTTCTCTGTCTATCTGTCTTCCATGTCAACTGACATGCCACTATTTAAAGTCTTTGTTCGCAGACAAGTTCATCTTCAAGAGGAGTGGTAGGTTTCCGACACAACAATTAAGGACTTCCACAGTTGATTAATAAGTTGATACTAAGCTGATTAATAATTGGACTGATTTTACTTTGTTTGGCTATACAGCATTTGACCCTCCTCTATTCCTTGTAAGTTGTCTTGTTAATTGTTTTGTAACTTATTGTTCTGTGTTTTTTGTATGTATCCGTTAACACCAGATACTGGTGCTGAATAAATATAGTAAGCACTCATTCTTTTCTGTATCATTCACCTCAATGATACAACACAATGGATATCACATAACTCGAAGTGAAAACAATGAGATAATCAAGATCTTGACTTACCACACTACTTAAAACAAAAAGTTAGGAAGAAAACCCCCTTCAATATTGGAAAGAGTAATAACTGCTATTGGACTTGAAAACCTCTTTACTGAAAAATTGTTTTAAGAGAAAGCTTTATAATTTTCAACTGACAGCAGTACTAGGTGCTATGTCAGATAATGCCAAATGTTTCCTTATAAGGAAAATGAATAATATTACCATTACTAATATGTAGTGAATTTCTTCCTCACTAAATTCCTTATATTAATGGATTTTTTCCAAACTAAGCTTAATAAACATCAAGAATTGGATGGATTGAATGACCCTTTATGGTTTATCTAAAACTGAAATATATTTTAGATATTTTTCCTTTTTGTGAATGATTATCACATTAACAATTTTTGAGAATAACAATGATTTTTCTTGATACAAGTACTACTATTTAATTGGCAGGAGGGGAGATGGATTCATGCCTTTCCCAAGGGTATTTGCATATAAGTGAATGTGACAAACTCAACTGAAATTTAAACTTAGCTCCCCGATTTCTCATCCCATGATACTGTCCCCACAAGAATTAAAAAAACCTCTTATAAAATAGAATAAGAATTGCTATAACCAAATTTATCCACATATATAAAATAGAATGTATGTCTGTCTACATATTTGTATATATTTCTGTATTTTCAGAAGAGTCTGCTACATAAAAAAATTGTCAGAATTGTCAGCTACATAAAAAATAAGTGGGCATTATGTAAAATGACTGGTCCACTCATAAAAAATAAAGGATATTTTAGGGAAAATAATTTTTCTAGTTTAGTTTTCATTGGACCTTGCTCAAGTCATGATATTTATCAGAATTTAAAAAAATATTGATTTTTGTTTTATTAATTTAGAAATGTGTGTGGGGGGTGTCATGTTCCTAAATATAAATACAGTGTTAAAGTATTCCTGATTTTTTAGAGTTATCTGTACTTTATTTTTATTTACAAATGTCAAGTTTGAAACTATGCTTACATCATTGATAACTGTATATGACTGATATCTGTTTTCTCAATTCATAATTTATCATTCAAAATGCAAGTGTCCAAACTGAAAATCTTATCTGCTGATTTTTTAAATATTTCTTCAAAACTCCAAAGTCTATTGTTAAAGTTATCATGTAATAGTATAGGCTTATTGTTAATGAGTATTTCTGGTATATACTGATATATATATCAGTGTACATTCATCTGCTGTTGATTAATATAAGTACAAATTACACTTTGTACCTCCTTGATTATCTCTATCAGCATTGGTTTTGTAGCATTCTAAAAGTCAAATTGAAATGACTTCAATAGTAACACTGAAATCAGTTCCACAATTTTTGATGAAGCTATGTTACAATAAACTCAACTATAAAGGGTTGAACATGTGATAATGATAAAAGAATCTCTGAGAAACTTGCTTTAGGCACACAGATAAGTAGTCTAGCTGAAGAGATATAAGGACTCCCTGAAAAGTGCCTTTATCTCTTGTGGCTTGAACAATGAGTGAGAAACAGAAGTAGCTAATAGGACCACATGGAGGTGCAAGATTTCTGAAGGCGAGTTTCTTTGGAGAATGAAACCACAAGAAAAAAATAGAAGAAAAGAGATAACATTGCAATGTCATGGCCTCAGCCGACTTGCAAATCTTCTCCTGCTGTTGATGCCGAAAACATGCTTTTCCAATAGAAGCCCCATTACCAATGTGAATGAGGCTGCAACAGATTTGGAAGACCATCCCAAATTTTCATTCACAAAGACACAAGTGTGTGTCTGTGAGTAAATGACAAGATAGAAATCTTTTCACAATATTTTCACTTATTAACTTACTATTATTTATACATTTTATACCATATTTTCATACACACACACACACATATCTATATAGATTAAATATAAATTATGTGTACATATACGTAGAAAAGTTCAAAAGCACCATTTGACCATATTTTGGCCATTAGGCTCTCTGTAGCCAAGAGGTTAAAGTATGCCAAATCAAATGACAGTTTCCCCTAGGAGAATGCAGGTTCAAATCCTGCTAGAGAATGCATAATTTTCTAATAAAATTTCTCACATATTCAGGCCAGTAGTCAGTATCAGTCAGTTATGTGTCATGCATGATACACGCTTAGGTGATTATGTATCTTAAATACATGACTGATGAGGCAGATTTTTTTCCCACAGTAGGTTGCCATTTCTTTCTGCATTAGACCAGTTGCCATCCAAGGCTATAGAACCTGGTATGTCCTGCTATTTACCCATAGCTGGGGGGAGAAGAAAAGGATTCATACCTTTCCCAAGTGTATCAGCTTGGCTGTAGGTTCTATGTAGCCAAGAGGTCACAGTACATCAGATCTATGACGATTTTCTCTAACATAGGTTTGAATCCTGCCAGAGAATGCATATTTTTCTAATAAGAATTCTCAAATACTCTGGTCTTTAGATGGAAATAAATAAATATATTGTTTAGTAAATAAACAGGAAATCTACCCATTATCCACTAAAAATAAGGTTTAAGCAATAAAATAAATCATATATATATATGTTTGGTGGTACAAAATTTTATCACTGCCATGAAAAGACAAAAATTATTTTTATTTTTACCACTCATGATAATAAAAATGAAAAATGGGCTAGCTAACCGGTTTTGTACATCACTCAACAGATATATATATATATATATATATATATATATATATATATATATATATATATATATATATATATATATAAATAAAAGAAAAGAACAGTAAAATATATAATCTGGTGTTCTTATAGATATTTCTATTTTTACAAAATAGTGCTCAATGGAAATTTACAGAGCATTAATATTATAAATTAATTGGTTTAAAATATGTTTTTTTTCGCTACACAGTTCTAACCATGTTTCAAAAATGGAAGCAAATTTTGGACTCCAAAATTCGCTTGAGGATGAAATGGAACTAATGTCTTTAACTTAATTACAAAATTAAATTCGGAACTTTCAGCTTCCATTTTTGAAACATGGTTAGAACTGTGTAGCGAAAAAAAACATAT